TTAAGTCATCTGTCAGCTCCTGCTGACACCAAGAGGTTTGTAAGCTACAGTCAGCAGTCTGCTCCCCTTGATTCTCCTATGAGGTGTCAAACAGCAAATCAAATGCGTATGTACTCAGCCTTTATTATGCTTTAGTAAACTTTCAAGTTTACTAAGGCCTAATAGAAGAAATGTAGGCCAATCACAACAAGGAATAAATATTCTGAAGAGCATAAAAAGATTAACACAGGTAATACTAATTAAAAATAAAAATCCACAAAGAGAAATACAGAGAAATACTGTGTTTGAAATACAAGGCATAGTGAATAATCTTGATTAAAGTAAATTGACTGCCACAGAGTACTTGTGTCAAATGTACCCTCCCAGCCCCTTCCACACAACTGCTTAATTTCTTCTCACTCTGAAGGGTCTTCAATGTCTGTCTCTCAATCTGTTGGCCACCAAGGACCCCTGATGCGTGTGTGCTAATGGTACTTTGTGCTTTTGAACATCTCTTACTCTTACAAGGCTATCATGTTTTTCTGGATTGACCAGCCACATTTCTGATCATTAACCTAAAAATGGACGTTACAGCTGAAAAAACAGACTTCGGGACATTTTTCACAGTACTATCTGAAGGGGATAAAAGAGTCAATGTGTTATCTTCTTTATTAGTTTCCTGTAACAGAAATGTAACATAAAGCAGCCTGTAGTGTAAACCAGCTCACCTTGCAGCTTCATAACCTACAGACCCTATAGGAGACCTCTGCGGGCTGTTATAGGGAGAAGGCAGCTTCCCTTTGTATATTGAAAGGGAACTGCACTCGCACCTGATGACATACATATTCATGCCTAATTTACTCTAGTGTGCATTTCACTCAGAAATACTAGGAACTGCCACAGCATTTCCGTGGAAAGCTGTGTTTCATCAATTCTTAGTCTTCCAAAGGAATGATTTAAGTATACAGGAGGATGAAACTTCCACTCTGTCTAAACGTTTGATCAGCATAACAACCACATCTTCAAACTGTTTTGCATCATCTGTTGTAAGTAATACATGTTCAAAGCAATACTGAATATTGAGCTCATATTTGAAACGTAGAAATTTTATTTTAGCAATTTCACCCACACTGATGCACATTTAGTACATTTGGTAAAAGGCAAATTTATATATGGAAATCCAGAAGTGAGCTAGTGTTGCATTACATTTCTTCACTCTGTAGATATGCCCACACCTTAGAACAGTCAAAGGTAAGTTAAATCTCGGTTGAAAGCACCATTTTTATAATGACAGAGGGATTAAAAAAGTGTTAGTCCATCAGTGTTTTCGTGTTGCTTTACTCCTACAGAATGCCAGCTCATCTGGTTTGGTGCAAGAGACTGTCCAGAGAAATCTGTGATCATTTGAGTTGTTACCCTGAAGTATGACTGGTTGGAGTTCTTCCACTCTCAGTAGAAGCAAACCTTAACTTGCAAAGGGCACAGATAATGAGTGCTCACAATAAAGGAAAATCTCTGACAGAAAAGGGTTTATGATGCACAGCTCAGTGGTACTTCCCTCAACAGCTGTGCAGGCAAACGTGGAGTAGTTTGTTCCATGAAAATCTTATTCAACATCCCAGGAAATTCTCCGCTGGAATGGACAATGATATATATCCTTCAACCTGGTGAGGGAGATTAGAAGCTTGCTGGAATTAAAGGTAACACAAAGCACCATATGGAGTAATTAATTTTAAATATCACATCTCATTATCTTTGAGGAAAAAGTTTGTGTGGTTTGTTCAGGAAAAAATCTGAGTATTTCAGGGTTGACATGCCTGTAATTAAGCACTTTTAACTCATCTAAAGTGATAAGCAAAGTCGTTATTCAAATCTTTATGAAGCTGGCAAAGTGATGTTTTGTAACTGCGCTTCTTGAATGCAGAACAGTCTGTGAAGTCAAATTTGTAGTGTTCCGTTCTTAGTGCAATGAAATACCATAAAGCTTTTATATGAAATCAAAGGGAGTACGTGTCTTTTTTGACTAAGTATTTCTTCTTGTCTGTATCATACTTTGGTGGAAAGGCAAAAAAGTACAGCTGGTGCTCTCCTGGTCTGTTATGGAGGAACAGTCTATAGGCCTAGATGTGAAAGCATTTAATCCCTAGTAGAAAAAAGCTGACGTTACAAAGCATGTTACAAAATCCCACTGTTTCCCTTTTAAAAAAATAATCTGAAAACCATAAATGTATGTACCTGAGAATCTCTCTCTCTAAGCTGAAAATAAGAGACAAAATTCAAAAATGATAATTAAATTGAGCTGGCTAAAATAAGAGCTAAAATAACTTTTTCCACGTTCTTGGAAATTTTTTAAGATTTTGAAAAGACTCCTGCTGAGATTCTAAGCTCTATGAGGTTTTAGGGGAGGTTTCTTTAGATAATTGTTAAAATCTCCTAGGATTTTTGGCATCCATATAAAATACCTTATTTAAATATAGAACAGCTCTACCAGTATTCTCTATTTCATGAACATCCCATATCTGTAAAACATTCAGCATTGGCTTAGGTAATAATTCAGTAATTTATCATCTAAAAAGATTATGCTCTTGCCCAGGGAGGAATTTGATAAACTTTACTGTGATTTAAAGGTGTAATTTAAGGTCGTATTAGCGAGCCTGGTAAAGCAAAACATTTTCAAAACTCTAATCAAGGCACAGTCTTAATATGGTCCTTTTATATTTAAAAAGAAAAAAAAAAAAGAGTCTATAAAAAGGTCAACTCAGACTTGTGTAGTTTCCAGCAGACCTTTAAAAGCTGATTTGGATAGAAAATCAGGCAATGTGGTGTTTTATATTCAGCCTGTTTGTAAGCTTCCAAACTGTCCAGACACAACAGGATTTTCAGAAGAAATCTTTTGCTTCAGTCTGTATAACTGATGTTGTTTGGTTCAGCTGCTCAAAAGGAAAATAAAGATACAGTCTAGATATATAAAATATATATAAAAAAGATATAGTCTAGATCACACTTACAAATTGATAGAAGTTTATTAAAACATAAATTAAAGTCTTTTTTATGAATCGGCTAGTAGGAATCAAGAAAAAAAAATATATTTATAGCAGTTTAAGGATGTATAAGCAGTTTAAGTAGAATTTTATGTGAATTGGGGTTGAATTTATCAGGTTATTTTCTGTGAGGAAGAAAAGTTTGACAAGAGATTCCTGAAATTATAGCCACCCAGGTGAAAGTGTCCTAGTAGAGGCAAAGGGTAAATCATCCCTCCAGCTGTGGGAAATCTGAGTTATTTCTCTCTTCTACTTAGGAAATTTGAACTTAGTTTTCCTACATGCTATTTCATAGCTTAATTACTAGATTAGGGAGTGATTACATGTGTGTTATATCTGGTTGATACTATTTTATTTTAAGTAAGCAAACATTTGCTGGTATGAATCTGAATTTTAGCTTGCTTACCTCTTGTATGAATGCCACAGCCCCTACAGACAGTGTCAGTATCTCACTGTCTTGTGCTTGATTTCAGTGACAATGGAAAAGAAAATAAGGAAAGAATCACAGAAAATATAATAATATTAAACTTTTAAGTTTTTACTTAAAGATAGGTAAACGTATTTATTTTAACACGATAACTGTTTGGCAAAATTCCTGTATTTAATAGGCAGTATTTGCTTATGCAATTTTGAATTTGGATCTTGGATAAGAACACAAATAAATACTAAGTTGTCAGGAATCCTATTCACAAGCCACCTTATTTTGGTAGCTGTGATAATATTTCCTTTCCTTGAGGTCTGTTTCATACAGTACACTATCCAGCTAGATTTTCTTAAGCTTTTGGTGAAAACTATTCATCATTAAGGTATTTTCCACTGGAGTCCAAAATTTAAATATGTGTTTTGCCAAACCTAAGTAAACACCAGTAAATTAAACAAATTCTCTCTGCCAACTGGAAATGTGATGCAAAGCTTTCATCTTCCCCCCCTGCTTTAAACAGTTTTTACTATTCCTGCACCCTAAATTGCATTAGTGGAGTAGGTATTTGATCAAACTGCATTATAGACAGGCTTCTGTTGTTCTTTCCTTTTTTTTCCCTGTTTGTAACCAGCAAATCCCACCATTCAGACTGTTGTGTCAAGTTGTTTATGTCTCATGTTGGCATGATGACAATTCAACACATCACAGGCGTGTACAAGCCAGGGCTTTGGAGGCTTGAAACAATAGTGGTCTTCTGACTGCCAAAGTCCTCCTGCTCCCTAGAAACCTCACTTGCTGAGCCCTGATTTCAAGAGTGATTTAGTTTTTGAACTGTTACAACAGAAGAGTTGATCTGTGCACTAAAGAGAATAAACAGCCCCAAACTATGTTTCTGTTTAATAAAGGATTCTTTGTCGTCTTGTGTTTAAATGTTGTTTTGCTTTCTGTGTCAAGTTGCTACAGTCCAGCTTACAGGTAGACTGGATATGTTGGAGAAAGAAAATATTAATAAAAATGCCAATAATATGTAGCTGGTTAAATTATCAACATCTTTGTTGATGGTGGAAGAATGGCCATGCAGCTGTGGTACATGGCTAGAGCCTAGGAAATGACTTCTTACATGACATAGTTACTGCTTTTCTCTGTTTTCCAGTTTTTCAAAATTGTGTTTCAGTGTCACTGAGGTGCCAGAGGCTAAATTAATGTGAAATATGTCTGGTCTTTGATTCAAGATGGTAGAAAATGCAAAATTACAATGATTTTATCACAAAATCCACTTAAAATATGTAGACTGAGGTATCTGAAAACCAGTACTGCAATGTATTTCATTTTCTGTAGATGTGAGGGCTTACCCCTTAGAGGTATTGGGTTTTGCTGATCTGAAGTTCTAGCTTGGATGCATTAAAAAGGTATGCATGTGAAAGAGAAGGTGTATAATGTGTGTATTTGCTGCGTTTATGAAACACGGAAGACAAGAAGCAAAATGACAGCATGAGATCATTTTGGTAGAATGTGGTTTCTCTCCTAAGCTTTTGGTTTTGTTTTGCTTTGTTTTGCAGTTTGCCCAGCTGGTGTCTGTCTACAGAACTCTGGGTCCAGAGAAGTTCCCTTTAATTGAGCAGACATTCTATCCAAATCACAAGGAAATGGTAGGTGCAAATACCAATACTAAATTAACTTAGCGTCTCTGTAAAACAGGAACTGTAAACACACAGTTCATTTCCCCCATTTACTGTCTATTTTAAAAGCCATTTTGGAAGCTTTCAGAGGGATGAGACTGGGTGACCACTTGAAAGCATTGTGATGGTTAACTGGAAGGCTTTCAGATGTGAAGGTAGTCATTTTTCAGCTTCAGATTTTGAAGAGATTAAATGCTTACAAAGACACGGAAAACTATAAAAGTGCAAGAGTTACTTTTGTGGTTTGTTTTTGACCTAGTCCTTTATGAAACAGTTCAAAGTGTTTATCTCTCATTGTAATGATACACAGGGCTATGTGCCTGTCCGTGTAGAACTTTGAACTCCTCGATAATCAGGGTGTTTGTGACTTGTGATCTTTATGTACCTGAGCTGACATGGATTCCCAGTCCTTCACAGACATGAATGCATTCATAAAAATAACACTTATGACCTTTACTCATGAACTGTCTTATGCTGTAGACATTTTTTTTTCCTTAATTTTCTTATGGTTTCTAAACAGAAATTCTTTCCTGAGTATATTTTTCTAGAGGGAAGACTTTCAGCATTGAGAGAAACTGGAGGGATAGAGTAGAGGGATTGAATAGACTAGCATAGAAGCATCGATTATTTTTAGAATATAATCTATTCAGCATATGTCACACAGCTGTGATTCAAGTACCACTGCAAGGTCATGATAAATATGTTAGCTAACTGTTTATGTAAGGTCCCCAAGCTGTAATTGCTGCATGTCTGTCTTGAGACTCTGGCTAGCACTTCGTTATCATAGGTGTCCTCTAAGATAAGCCTCAGTGACAGCAGTTGACTAAGATTTCTTCTGAAGTCATCTTTCTCCCACATCTGTCTCATGTTTTGGTGATAAACACAGTATGATGCAGTTCTGCTGTATTTTTTGATGGTGGCTCTTCATACTGTTTTCCCAGTTCTCTCTGGCTTCTTTGGACTGTTGACTCCCAGATGTTTCCACTTCTCTTGTCACATATGACACTTCCGAGAAGAGCTTTTACCGCAATCATGTGTTTAGTAAATTTGCTACACAAAAGTTTTGTAGAGCCAAAGGAGCATAGTACTGATCTGGAGCAGCAGATGTAAATATTGTCCCAGACAGTCAAATCTTTTCAAAATGGAAGGGAGTTTTGTTGATGGATTTGTCAGGAAAATATACAACTTTATAAAATTTGTATTTTTTTTAAGTGTGAAGGAGTTGTTTTGCGCCTTGGGGACTCATTCATAAGAGGTGGAGAAGCAGAACCACATCTCATGTTTTGCAGTATGCTTTTCTAAATTGTAATAAGTTTTCTTGAAAATGGCCAAGTTTAAAGCCGGTTTATAATTTCCTGAGCACCATTTATTGTTCTTTCTTCATTATTTTATCAGCTATTATTCAGGCTCCACAGGGCAGTGGTCACAGCACCAAGCCAGTCAGAGCTCAAGGACTGTCTGGACAATGTTCTTAGTCATATGGTTTAGTGTTAGGTAGTCCAGTGAGGAGCAGGAAGTTGGAGTCGGTGATCCCTACAGGTCCCTTTCAAGTCAAGCTATTCTATAATTCTATGATTTTATCAAAAAAGCAGGCTTTTTTAATACATTGCTAAATTGCAGCATATAGAAACAAATCTATAATTCTGGGGCAAGAGTCAACGTGTTAGCTCTTAGTTTTTGCATAGCATGGCCCTGTAGAAGGTCTGCCAGTTCAGTTGTAATCTGCTGTCTTGAACAACTGATTGAATTCAAATTTAGTAATACAACACAAACAAGAAAATATGTGTATGTGTTTATAAGGCATATTTTACTTAAAAGTATAGCAAATATTTGAGTGTTTTTTTCCCCCCTTCATTCCTCTGCATTGCTCATTAATGTCTGAACTGATGTTACTTGTCTCTTGTTTGAACCTTTGACTGTTAATGCTCTCCACAGCTGAGTCATTTTTTGCATATTTCTACATATAGTGAACGTTAATCTGGAGAAAAGGAATGTGTTTTGGTATTGCATTGCCATATGTGGTTTAGAGGTGCTGTACAAACTGATTGTGATGAAGCTCATTGGCTTGTTTCTTCCTTCTGAGGAAATTATTTGGAACTTTGTGGCTTGAAGAATAACCAAGCAACCTGGTACAAGATAATATTTTATTCAAATTTCTAGAATGTCTTGTAAAATGATCTGAATAACAGAGTTTTCTAGTTGATGAATTGAAATAATATCATGCTATTTAAATTTTGTTGGGTTTTAAACACTGTTTATTAATAGCTGGCCTCGTTTGCTATTACAGCATTTGGTATTTACAGTTTAAAATATTTTTTGGTAGTTCTTCCTGTGTTCATTCCTTCCCTTCTTATTCTCAGAATCGTAATGCAGAGCTCTCTCCCTCCCCTCCAGTGCAAACCATTTGGGGGAAGCAGCAGGGGAACGCTCCAAATCTCTGTGAATTGAGTTTTCAGCATGGTTGTGCTTCTCTTTCTTTTGCTTCTTTCATACGATGGTGATCATTTGTACTGAGGCTTTAGATGGCAAGAAAAGGTAAATAAACAAAGATGCCATTCTTTTGTGTAAAAATGGAGCTGCTTTAATGAAACACTTTCTGAAACAGAAACATTCATCTCGGCCTGATTAAAACTATACAAAACCCTGTAAGGCTTTTTGAACTCCTTGCTAGTTGAGTCATATCTACAGCCTTTCCCTCAGTAATTAGTTCTCTTTATTTTGCTACATTCCCACCTCCTGTGTTCTCTGTCATGAAAAAAACCTGCTTTTTTCAACATAATTGGTGGACAATTTAATTAAAACTTAACTGGAACATGGAGAAAAAGCCAGTGATACTCAAGGTGGGTTTTTTTTCCCACCCTTCACCTGTACAGTCTCCCTTTTCTGTTCTTTTCTGTACCCTTATCATAAGTCATGTGAGTCATTTTCAAATTAAAATAAAATGTTACACCAAGCTATATTTCTGCTCTAACCTTTCATATAACATATACACAGTTTCAAGAAGTAAAAATAAAATGTTGTAAAAATAATGCTGTTGATAATATATCAATGCCACTACAGTAAAAATCTTGATAGGAGAATAACATATTGGGAATGTCACATTGTAGTTAATCCTTTTCATAATCTTTGTCAGCACTGAATCTCAGGGAAAATAGAAACTCCTTCTTTGAGAGTTTTTTTGTAAAGCTTTTCTTGCCATATTTATTGATATGAGGGGAAAAAAAAATACCATTATTATGAGAAGTTCGGTGAGATTTATGCTTAGATAGAAATCAATCTGGACAGCCATTAATTTTGAAACACCTGATATGGGATATTTTATGGCAGGTCAAATATAAAATGTTTTTAAAACTAATTATGGCATACAATTCATATCACAGTTTGTTCATAAATATCGAAGAAAACATTTATTTTTACTAGGTACATAAAGATGGCAATCTGAGTTGGCTTAGTTGAGTTTAAGGTCTCATTACTATAAAACTGCACCAGAACTACGTTGAGTTAAAAAGCAGATGATATTTGTTTGCTGCAGAGTGCTGTTCAGAGGACACCATTACATCAAAATGGATTGGGAAACAAATGCCATACTGTACATGGACTGCATATTAATGAGCCATGTGCTTGATTCAGGCTTTGTATGGTTATTGAGCTCTCGCAGGCTTGTCTAGGGATTGTTTTGGTTTGGCATGAGTAAGTAAGACTTGTTTTTAAGTTTATCTGTAAATTAGTAATATAAATGCAGAGCACTGACAGTAAAAAGCACTGTCAATATTGTCTCTGCCGCATCAGTTCCTTTTTGGAACAAATGTAGCCTTTTTATTTCAATTTATGTAAGTAGCCATAATAAGTCCATGGTCCAAAGTAGTGTTAGGTAATTTTTTGTTTGCCTTTAGCAAAGCAGAAAACAAACGAGGCTTTACGTTTGACAGCACAAATATATGGTGGTTTAATTTACAATTGTAAATAAAAAGTTAAATGTTTACTATTAAGGGACCAATGCTTCTCAAAGGAATAGCGGCGTGCCTTGCCATTGGCCTTGCACCATTTGCACTTCATTGGAATTACATAAATTTAGCCACAAAAAAATAAATTTATTCTCACAAGTGTTTTCAAGGCTGCCATTGTCTATCTTTTTAAATATAGATTCATGCAATTGCCAAAATAAACATCAGAAACACAAACAGAATATTTCTCAAAAATCATGTGTCCAGTTTTTTAGCAAGTATGCATTACATATCCAATATAACCCATCTTAGAGTGTGACCAGATACACGGGACATGCTGATTTTTATATCCAAACTACTGCTTCATTGAATTGAATGGAATGAGAGATGCCTGTGCTCTTAACGATGGGCATATCTTCCTTGCAAGTCCCAATGATCTCATTTAGTTTCCTGCTCTGGCAGGGGGGTTGGACTGGGTGATCTTTCGAGGTCCCTTCAATCTCTGACATTCTGTGATTCTGTGTGATTCTGTGATTTGATGAGGACTCTGTAGCAAACAGTCTAAAGGAACTGTTTGGAAGGCGAGACCCTTGAACCAACAGACAGTAACAGCTCTGATTCTCCACGAGCCCGCTGGCTGGAAGGGTCACGCCGTGGTTAGCAGATATGAGTAAAGTGTTTGTGTTAAACCTTTAAATAGACCTGATCTAACCAACGGAGAGCAGAACTGTCTAAACCTCTGCCTGTTGTTCTAAATTCCCGTATGGGGAATACATTAGAGCAATATCTAGCCAAAATTGGAAGGAAGCGAAAGAAACCCAGTGGAGAAAATTGGAGAGAGTTAAAATACGTCAGAAATGGCAGCTATTACAGATTCATTCCCTGCGTGACGGTTCTCATCCAGTTTCTAGAACCCAAGCAGTTGGACAGCTGTCTAAACTTTGGCATTCACTGAAATAATTTCTTAAGTTTTACCACTGTGAATTGAGTTACTTTTGTAAACTTAAATATGTGTGAGATTAGTTACTAACTACACTACATCAGCTACAGTTGATGGAA